GGAATAGACCCGTTTCGAATTCCAAATTACCGCTGTGTTTCTTGATTACAGACTCATTTGCACAGGGTTAGCCTCGAGTTTGTGCAGAATATTCACGTGTTCCAGTCAAGGTCCGTCGAGTTTCAAAATGTTTGCATTGTTGAATTTGTGCATTCTTTACTTTTCTGTTGGTATTTGTGAATATTTAAACACTGATACGAGGCTAACCCTGTGCAAATGAGCCTGTAATCAAGGAACACAGCGGTAATTTGGAATTCGAAAATGGTCTATTGAGCGTGTTGGTTTTTGCGGAGGGGCAAACTCGGAGAAAAATATTCGTATCAAGGACGTTACCCAACAAACTCTAATGACAAGTGGAGTAGTTAACGCGCGTGATGCTGCGCATTGACGAACTGCTGGGTAATCTCATGACGCATTTGTTTGATCTGTTTTTGTTATTTTGGAATACTCACGAAACTAAAGAAATTCAAACATCGCCATTTTTTTTAAGTTGAAGATAGACATCCAGTAAAGAGTGAAGTCATTAAACCCGTGAAAGTCCCCGCGAAATAGATATTTGACTAATACACTTTAGTAGGCCCTTATTCCATTGTTTTCTTTTGTGTCTATATTTGACTATTACACGTTGACTAGTATTTTTTTATTTCACTGGTTAGATGCCTTCATTCTATATATCATTTTTCAAAGTGATAAGGGAAAGTAATATACTTCAAGATTAAGTCAGTTTACTAAAATAAAAATAAAGATTTTGACTTTGAGCCGGCCAATTTTTTTAATTGCTGAAAAAAATAAAAACAAAATAAAATAAGATAGCGTCGTGAGTGAAAAACTTAATCATAGCCATTCCATATTTACAGGTTAAAGTAATATCACAGGCTATTTAGTTTGGACAAATAACAAAAAGCCATTACTAGCTATTATTGATAAATATTTTATCTGCTTTTGGTCGGTCCTTTAGAAATATAATTTGCATATTTCAAATAGTTTTCCGAAAAGTCATCGTTAATATCGAAAACGCTCGAAGCTAGAGACAAGATTTGCGCCATGATATCCATCAAAGAAACTTATGAATATAAATGCGTGGTTATCTCTATAAGTTGAATAAAATACTTGAGATTTTATCTCTGCATTGTAATCACGGTCTATTGTTATCAATAAGCACAATATCTATCGAATTTAAAATTTCATTTTCGATGCATAACTTGAAATATATTTTTTTTCTTGGAAGGTAAGCAATAATAAGAAATGTTGTTTTTTATGGCAACGGAAGCGAGGCGGTGCAAGTACATGACAATCCATTTGTCTTCCTCCGTCATTAGTAGAAAAGCAATCATTAGAAGTGAATGATGTAACAAGTAAAGCACTAGAAAATAACAATATTGTCATAAAAAAATTCATATTAGTTTTTGCCACTGTTATTTCTGGATTAAAGATTATTATTTGTAAGTTCGTGACTATATTTCTTACAGCTAATTCATCGATCATCTGTCATAAGGAGAGAAAATTCCTTTACCAGTGAAAAAATATAACATAGTAAAAACGATATTATACTATTATGAATATCACCTAAAGACTATTGTAGAATTCGATCTTATTTTAAGCACAGATATCTGTAGATTAAAGATTATTATTTTTTAAGTTCCAGACGATATTTTTTAAGCATATTATCCTATGTCATATGAAGATATAATTTCTTTGGAAGTAACAAAAATTTATAAAACCATTATAAATATAACATCTGAGTCAAGATTGTTGTACAATTTTTATATTCAATCTCAGATATTCGTGGAGTTAGGATAATATTTTTTTAGTTTATGAAGATAGTTTTTTACAGGTAATTTTAGCGTGAACTAAATAATTTATCCTATGATGTAAATATTCTGACTATACAAACCATTATTAATAATACAAATATATAAATTTGTGGTAACACTATCACCCAAAACACTCACATAACGTTATACTGGGCTGTAAAAATAACTAAACTTTAAAATAAATATCTAAATTTCAGAGGTATTAAGCCTAATAGTTTTAGACTTATAAATGTGACTTGTTGACTATAATATTTAGACTTACCATTCGTATGGTGTAGTAAGTAACAGAGCAAGGTTAAATAACCAAGAATACGAAAAGATAACTCCATTTTGCCTGCTTTCGGTTTACCAACTTCGGAGTCAGTTTTCAAGAGTGTGTTGGATAACAGCCGAGACGGTGTAAGCTACAAAACGACGAAAATAAACTGCGAAATTTGTTGATGTCAAAGTCAATGGCGGAAAGATTTTTAAATCGCTATGTCCGATCAAAATTTTCAAGGCATGGCTAATAAGTCCTTATTTTTGTACCGATAAATTACCAATGAGTCAGGTTTTTTTCAAGGGCTCAGAAATTCGAAGCGACCGAGGTATTTAGTATATTACGAAAATGGAATTCGTAACGACCGACTTGAGTTCTAATCTTCCATGAAAAAAAACATTATGCAAATGTTCTAGTGCACTGTCTGGGGTGTCGAATTTTGAATACAAATCATTCATACATCAATGGATTTGCCATTATTATTTCTTAAGCTCTTTCAATCAATATAAATATTTGTACTGTGAGAGGTATGTGTCTCAGCATGAGATATGACTATTATTATTAACAGATATAAAGTTCCCACAACATACATTAATTCAAATATAGATATTTTGTATATTTTACATTTTATGCTGGGTCAGTAGTCATAGGGAATTTCAAAGATGATCAAAAACCAGCTGATATCGAGCAGTAAATTCAGCTCGTTTTCGATTTTAAAGAAATAGAAAAAAATTGCCAAAGTTAAAAATTGACGATGCGTCGAAGCTGACCTTAAATAAGTTCAATGATAATACAAAATTAAAGACATGGTGGCCATGTTGGTGGTAAGGAGGCAATGGAATTTTTTTAACTCTCGACTTTCACATCCCCATAATCCTTTGCGTCTTTGGGGGGTAACCAGAGGGTAAAAACCCACTTATTTTGCTGAAGGCTGATCAGACAATGTTGATCATACCTTGATTGGTATCCAAAGATAAAATGAAAAAATAAAAAACGAAAAATGATAGAAGCTTGAAGACGTTT